GAAAACATGCAAAGGCTTAATACAATGGGGTTACAGGAGCCTTTTGGGTAGGCCAAATAGGAATGTGGGACAGCAAGGGACTTCTCAGGTCATCAAATCCAGACAACTGCCATTACAGGTAGCATCTCATACAACCCCTTTCATGATCACATTGATCTCTAAATATTCCCTTCTCCCACACAAAACTGCCATAAGCTCTTTGTCCTTGGTCCCTAATTACAGACTGAAATCTCACTCCATCCCTCCCATCATGCACACACCTGCTGTTGCTCCACTTTCTCTTTTCCTGTAAATAAACTGAGAGCAGGTGAAAGATAATGAAATGGATTAGCCATCTTGAAGGGCTGGAGCAACTGAGGCAAAACGAGTCTGAGCTCCCTCGCATTGCCTCACCACACTGTTCAGCCCTCACCAAGAGTAGTCACTTCTGGTAGGGGAGGTCAATTTAGTCTGAAGACCCATTTGGAACCTGGTCTTTCAGGTTCCTGGGAAGGGCACCAGTTCAAGCCAGATGCATTGGCAACTTGCATACCCTTCCAATGGGAACATGGCTGAGGAGACAACCCCATTCCACATTCACAAAGGCCGCTGAACAAGGGGTAGCTTTTGGTCACTTATGCCAGTTCTCTGAGTGATTCAGTACCAAAGTCTTATGCACTGGGCTTTCTAATGGCCCCTTCTTCTGAGCCATGGAAGGGCAGCATAGTGTAATGGAATTGTTTTCACATAATTTTAACTGTTTTTTAAAAATATTTCCAGGGATTTCACTTGTGCCTCACCCCAAGTTGCTGAGGGTGGGATATGACTTCTGCAAATTGCCATAAATACAACAGACCAGGAAACAACTACCCTGTCCCACACATGGCTGCCCCACCTGCCCTAGATCCAGCCCTTTAAGGAAACCGCCCCCTCTCCCCCCCGACTCACCAGCTCCTGCAGGAGCCTTGGGGCTTCAGGGGGCTGGTGAAGAGCTTCCCATGTGGCACAGCACAATGTGGGGCAGTAAGGATTGGCCCCCCACTGGGCAGCACCTGGTGTCCAGGGTTTTTTGGGGTTTTTTTTGTTAAAGCACCAGATCTAGGGTGGGCAGGGCAGCCATGGGGGTTGCTGGGACAACGGGTGGGGGTTGGGGGGCTTGTGCACAGCCCCCCATGCAGTGTGGGGCAGTGAGGGGCAGCAGGGATTGCCCCCCTCTCGGCAGCACCCGGTGAGCCGGGGCTTTTTTTTTAAAGCACCAGAAACTGGGGCAGGTGGGGCAGCCATTGCCAGGGCTGGGAAAGTGGGCAGGGGATGGGCCTGTATGATTCAGAGATTCAGCTGAATTGATTTGGGACAATGATTTGAATCACTGAATTGAATCACTGTCCCCCGAATCGGCTGAATCCAAAGCAAATACTAGGCGCTTTGCGCAAGGCTAGTAGTCATTAGTGACTCAGTGTCTAGTTGGAAAAGGGGGGTTTCCAGGGTTTGAAACTAGCTTAAAAAGACCCATCTTTTCAGAGGGAAATATGAAACTAAGTGCCTGGCATAAAAAAAAATTGCTAAGAATCATAGAATCATAGAAGTAGGGTCAGAAGGGACCTTGTAGATCTTCAAGTCCAACCTCCTGCCTGGGCGGGAGAAAAACTGGACTCAAATGAGTCCAGCCAAGTAGGCATCAAGCCTCTTCTTAAAGACCCCCAGGGTAGGAGCCAGCACCACTTCCCTTGGAAGTTGGTTCCAGCTCCTAGCCACCCTAACTGTGAAGTAGTTCTTGTGGATGTCTAATTTAAACCTACTCTCCAATAATTTGTGTCCATTATTCCTTGTTATGCCAGCGGGCGCTCGGGGAAACAGTGTGTCCCCCAAACCCTGCTGGTCCCCTCTAGTGAGTTTATAGACAGTCACCAGGTCCCCCCTCAGCCTTCTCTTGCGAAGGCTGAACAGGTTTAGGTCCCGCAGTCTTTCATTGTAAGGTCTGCCCTGTTGTCCCCGGCAATGCTACAGAAAGCTTGGTCTTCACTATATCAGTTGGTCTTTATTTTTCTTCCACTCAGTGGGAATAGGGAGCAGTGGCTGGCATCGGATGAGGAAAGCTACAGAGCAAGCCATGGTACAAATCCTTGGCACTGCTTATAGTTGACAGACAATCTGCTTACACCCTATGGAAGTGAACCCCCCCTGGACTTCAAACACATTGCTCACTGACCAGGAAATTCCCTCCATCTTCTTTACTAAAATAATTATTAAAGTGTCAGGTAGTACCTACTGCATTGAGCCTTTAGGGTACCCTCTGCTGCATTGAGTCTTTAGGGTATCCTCTGCGCTGTACAGCATCATTTTGAGATCATCACAAGAGACTTCTAGATCATCAGTGGAGATGGTGTCCATAGGGTGTCCAGGGCTCCAGGGTATCCACAGATATGTGACATGCCAGTAGATACTTGTTCAGAACCTCCTAGACAGTCAGAAGGGGAAGAAGTGCAGAGAGTGTAACAGAGGGGTGTTGAAGCATGGGGTCACAAGAGATGAGAATTTCTTCACACTCCTTATAGCAAAGACATGTTTCTCATGCATTTTGGACCATTTTTCCTTGTCCTTAGCCAGTTTGTACTTGGGCTTCATGTATTTGATAATATTGTGGTATAGAAGCTCAGTCCAATGAATCCCCAGTGAAGCTAGTCTCTGCAAAACATAATTGCAGTGATGGATATTTTTCAAGTGCTCACCAAAAATTGTGAAACTTGGCATACTCTTTCCAGATCTTGACTAGAATGTGACTATGCTCCTAATAATGTGTCAGAGAGCCATGCTTGCTGGCTCAGGGCTGGCTAAGGGCTTCAGTAAAAGCAAATGGTTGGATCTCAAGGAAAATGAGGGGTCAAACAGAAAACAGGGACATATAAATCATACCCAAGTTTACAAGTCACGTAAGAGAGAGAAGAAGAAAGCTGCAGAAGAGTTGGAGGGCAAGAAATTAAGATTGCTGCTAGCAGACGTAGTGTCATAGCATCTTGTGGTGTGCACACGCACTTCCAAACAAACATAGAAAGGAAAAGAATAGGAAGGAAGCAGTAGCAGGCTTGACAGTTTGCAGCATTAGCATGAACTGCTGGGAAGTGGAAAAAGAAGGGATGTGTGTGTGTGTGTGTTAGCTAAATTATATACACAGTGTATGTAACTGTGTGTAAAACAGGTCTTATTGAAGAATAAATATTTTTGGCCACTAAGAGAAACTGTGGGTGCATATGTGTAATGTTATGTGATACATACACACATATATGTGTGTGTGTGTGTGTGTGTGTGTGTGTGTGTGTGTGTGTGTGTGTGTGTGTGTGTATGTATGCCTCTCAAGATAGCATATAGCAGTTATTGAAACTATGAATATATTTGTACCTGTGTGTGTGTGTGTGTCTATCTATATATATATAAAATGTTTCAATAAGACCTGATTTTATCAAACTTACCAGGTGAGAGCAGTGGGGAATATTTGATAATACATGTCTGACTTAGAATATGCATATAAAGCCCAATTTATTTCATCTTTACTTCTGTGATTTGCATAAGTGCAGTGGTGATGCCTGACTGAAAGGAGGGCATTTTCCAATTTGAATATGAAACTTCACATAGTGAATGCAGGTTTACTGTAATCTTGTTTAGAGTAGAACATTCCATTCATCCTGGCCAGACATGTGCTATGGTCTCCTCTGAGTGAAATCCCAGTTTCCACAACATTATTTCCCTTCAAGAAAAACACTATTTCAGTCTACAAGTATTTAAAATAAAGGATCTGGAGAACAAGAAAGAAGGCATGTGGTTTAAATTCTACATGAGGGCAAAACTGCCAGCTAGGTACACATTTAAATTTACACAGAAATACAAAAGGGTATTTCCATTTGGGACCATTAATTCATTTCCTGATTTGCAAAATTGGATGGGTTGTTATAAACCCATTGCATATGGATGCTGAAAAATAAATAATAATATTAAGCACTTCATTAAAAGAGGTGACCCAAGGTCAATATATACTGGGTGCACCTACATGAAACTATACATCACTGTAGTGATGAGCTGCAGTGATGTCGCTCATCAGTACAGCAACATAGCATCAGCAGGCATGAACCACGATGCCAGGGCTACTGAGCAGTAGCAATGAGCTGCTCTGTAGTAGCTTGTTGCTGCTGTACAGTAGGTTCAGAAATGACCCATGCATTGCCAGAACTGTGCAGTACCAGTTGTTACTATGCAGTCATTTAGTACTTACTTTAGCAAGTACCCTAAGGCTGGGAGATCCTGGCAGCTGTGAGGGCTGCCAGCTGTGGGAGCTTGCTTCTTGCTGGTGCAGGGGGAGCCCAGGAATTGACTCCCTTTGCACTAGCAATAAGGCATGATGGACAAGCCCAGGAGACAACTGCATATTTGAGTGAACATGTAGATATGCCAACTGTTGCCTAGCATGTGAGGATTACTTTAGGATTATGTGATGGCCATTATCTCAGTCCACAGCTAGGGAAAAAATCACCATGTGCCTCAGTTTCTGTCAAATAAGAGAAAAGTTTACTTGCTTACATGACACATGCAGATTCATTAATTGACACACAGTTGTATTGTGCCCTAGAATTGGGCTGCAGGGTCAGAAGATTAAAAAATAGTCATAAATGCCCCAATCTACACATTACAGATATTGCACCACTAACTGA